GAAAAGCCCCCCTAAGTAACTCTGGATCTACTCCTGGAATTTGACGGGCTTCATTAGAGAACCTGTGGAAGTAGTCTTTGAGCGACTCTCCTTCACTTTTATTTTTAAATTAAAAGTGAAGGATTAAATTATAAAAGTCTATCTTTAATGAACTATTTGAATACTTTGCTATGTTGCAAAATGACCTAAACTGAATTTGTTGTGGGTGATGAATGCTGAGATATAATTATGGTACAATTAATAGTATTATTAACGACAAAAATTTATTTTTGCATGAAAGGAGCAATATCAATTGACATTAAAATAATAGAAGTTATGGCTCATTGATTCGGACATGCTGCACACATTCATGTATAGGACATACTTAGAGCGTGCAAGAGTATTGCATGTAAGCAATTATAATATTAAATAATTAAAGAAGAAGAAGATGAAGGACATTGTGACTAAATATAGAGATGGAATCTTTTTTTTCTAAATATGAGCATATTAATTAATTTAAAATATTAAGAACTATGAGAGAGAGAGAGAGAGAGAGAGAGAGAGAGATTTTGAAGAATTGAAACAGTTGTGAAGCTGCTTCTTAGGCCTGGGGTGCAGGAGTTAGCCTATTTGAATACTTTGCTATGTTGCAAGTATTTTTGATAAAGATGTAAATTAGCTGAATGACTGCAATTTTCAAAATAATTATAGCAGAATAAAATAAACAACTTCAACAATATAGAAGCACGTCAAGAGTCCAATTTCTCTAAAACATCAATTTTAAGTCATCACTTTATATGTAACATCACAATAATGAAAATAATAGCAATAATAACTAATGCTATAACGATGTTCTCCTTCATGATCAGACGATCACGTCTTTGGGATAACATTATGTCCATAACATATTTTCTCACTTGGTCACTTTCTAGAGTGAACTTTTCTATATCATCAATCCATAAAAAAAAAATTGTAGTCTTTACATCACTACAGGAAAAGCAATTAAAATCAATGGAAAAACTAATGGTCTAGAGTGCATAGGTAAATTTGCATTTATTTCCAACTAAATAGTGATAGTTAGTATAACCAATGACTTTTCTACGAGTTGAATCATGGGTATTGAATAAATTGAATTTTTTACAGCCATGAAATAATCACTGACGATCCAAGTCGTAGTTTCTTGGGTTATTAATATATAACTGATGGTCATGTTATTTTAGTTGATGATCAAATCCATCGAATATTAAGAAATTAAGCACAAACGGTCAAATGACTGTTAAAAAGCTATAAAAAATGATCTTTATATCGAAATGACATTTGAAATCTCTCATTTCATTCATGTGAGCGCGCCTACGCTCCTGAGCCAACCGAACACTCTTGAAACCTATTTTTGCAGGAGTTTATGATTTCTCAAGTTCTTAAACTCCAAATATAAATATTTTTTATCCCAACATTCCTTCAAATATTTTATTTAATTTGAACCATTAGATTTTTTGCATTTTGAGATTAAGTGTTTTAGAGAAATACGAAATTTTGATTCATTTTTCTATAATTTTAATGATGTATCTTATTGTTAGACTTACGACTCATCTATTAGGTTTTCCATATCTATTACTTAAATTTTAATGAAAATTTTCATATCTTGCACACAAAATATTATGTTTTATACATCTCACCTAAACTTTAGTATTTATATACATGACAGTTTGGTGCTTTAACTCCATGCATGAAAATGTGTATTTCACTTTTACAAATTGGTAATTGTTATATCAATGATATTGATGTGATATTAAAGTTTTTAGTACTATGTGTGTGAATATGAATGTTTAGGTTTAAGATATGTAAATACATAAGAATTGTGTGCTACACATCTAAGTACCCCTGTTTAAAGAAAAATTAACATACCTAAAGATATTTAAATACATAAGAATTGTGTGATACTCATCTAAATGCCCCTTTTTAAAGACAAATTGGCATACCTAACACACAATTCTTATGCTTTTATGTATCTCACACCTAAATTTTTTAATTTGCATACATGTCACTTTGGAGCTTTAAACCTATGTGTGAAAATGTGTATTTCACTTTTTAAAAAACAATAATGCAATTTGTAAAAATATCTAAGTTTAGATTTGAGATATGTAAATTCATCAAGATTGTGTGATATGAATGTAAATTCCCTTTTATATGTACACATCGTTTGGTGCTTTAAACATATGCATGAAGATGTACATTTCACCTTTAAAAATTGATATCTGTGATGTTTTTGATGTGATATTAAAGTTTTGATTGCTATGTGGGTAAATATGAGAGTTCAGATTTGAGATATGTAAATACCTAAGAATTGTATGTTATTCATGTAAACACATATTTCTAAAGACAAATTCACGTACCCAATATGTAATTTTTATGTATTCATGTATCTCACAACTAAACTTTGTATTTATATACATAGCACTTCGGTGCTTTAAATATATTCATGAAAATGTATATTTCATATTTAAAAAGTTATGATAGTGAAGTTTCTTACGTGAATTTTAATCTAACTTCCTAAAAATGATGAAAATATTATTTAGAGTAAAAAAAACCTCTTGTAGGGAACCAAACACTTGAAGACATTTATAAAATAAAATTAAAAATTATAATAAATGCACAAACATGTGTATAAGTTTTATGCTTAATACAACATTAATAAATTTTCATCATCGAACATGGATCTGGAGGTGTGACACGAATTTTGAGATTATTTTCTTAGCAGAACAAGTTTAAAATTCAATTAAAAATCATCTAGAACTTTGATTGTAACAAATTTATAGTCAAACTGGCCGACTCGATGGGTTAAACGCAATGACACTATTATTAACCCAATCTGAGTCAACTCAAGTCTTGATCGAGCCGTTAAACCATTTTGGAAGTTTCTAGTGCCCAATTGAAGGGTCCAATAGGTTACGAATCAGATGTGTTTATAATTAAATCGAGTGTCTCAATGAGATGAATCTGACAACCCCAAAATCACTCAATTCTGATATTATTAAGACAATCAAGGTCCACAGAATGTCATTCCATCAAAGGAATCTTTTTAGGTCGATCGATGGATTAGTCTGAATTATTTTCTTATATGTCAGGAAGCCTCTCCTATAATTTATAAATAGTGTCCTATCTCGTTCATGAAAGGGGACATATTTCTGAATTAGAGGAAGCCCAAGACTTGGAGAAGAATGAGCTAAAGTTTAATGTTCCACGTCGATGGTCTAGCAAACACCTCCGGCTCCTGTAACCACCAACTACTGCTTGTCGAGCACCTTCAACCACTGTCGACCACCCCGTGCTCTTCACAACGTAGCCCATTGTGGAATTATGGTACACGCTACGAAATCCTAACATATGTTATGGAGTAACGAAACACTGTGAAGGGAAACAAATCATTCTATGGAGCTACACATCCCGAAGATGGTGTAACATTGCATCCTGAATATGGTTTAGCAATGCCCCAAAGATGACGCAACACACAACCCACATACATTGTGGCAATGCATCTCAAACATGGTGTAAAAAAACACCTCAAATATGGTGCAATAACATACCCCAAAAATATTGTAATAATGCATCAAATATTGTGCAACAAAGCACTCTGCATATATTGCAATGAAACATCTGAAAAATAGTTTAACAATGCACCCCACAATAACTGCTTATAATGGTCGTACTCATGATACAATGACATTCTTCTAATTTCTTAAACTCTTTTCTTACATTCCACCACTACGACATATAAGATTGACAGCTCATTTAGCTCCTAACTTCAGACTTTGCAGCCTACAAACGTTATCATAGCTAGTATAACTCACAACTTTGGCCTTTGTGACCTATGAACATTATCATAGTTCATGTATCTTCAAATTATGTCATCTGCGTCCTATAAATATTATCATAGCTAGTGCGGATCCCAACTCTGACCTTTGTGGCCTATGCATATTATCACAGCTTGTGCAACTCCCAACTCTAACCTTTGTGACCTATAGACATAGTTATAGCTCATGCAACTCCCAACTTTGGTCTATTTGGCTTACGAACGTTATCACAACTTCAAACTCTAACCTTTGAGAATGAGCAGAAGTCCAGCACCACCACTGTCATCGTCGATCATCGCCAGCCCCCACAAACCACCACCGACCGTCCTCGGCCGCCGTCGATCATCGCCAACCTTCATTGATTGTCATTGACCGATGCCATTATCGACAATCACCGACAGTTGTCGAGCACTACTGTTGTCGTTGAGCACCAACGACCGTCGTTGACCCTTGACCACCGTCGATCACCACCAATCACCGTCGACTGTCACCGACCGAAAGCCGTCAGTCTACATTGTAACGTGGAAAACCTAGTAACTCTGTCTCTTTTGTGGGGCAATTGCTCTCTGCAATTATTAACCTATAGTTGATTTTTACATCTAGGTCAGATCCCGTGATTTTTTATCTTTACTAATTTTTCATGAAAAACTTCTAATGTCATTACTGTTTGTTCTCTTTTACTTGAGTGTGTGTTGAATTCTCACACAACGCTAAGATGATAATTCATAACTCAACAATCTCGAATTTTCTAGCACGCATCACATTTAAATCACCCAATTAATGTCATCATTATCTCTATAGAAGAGAAACATAACTTTTTTTTATATAAATTTATGATACTAAAATATTATAAGTATAAATATTAAATTTCAAATATTAGATGTAAATATATAAGTATTATTCTGTAGGTACGAAAATTTCTCTATTTTAAAATATTTCTTCAAAGTACATTAGACTTAACACGAGCTCTTCCCCCACTAAATTTATTATTCATCCTACTTACAATTAGACTTAACATATTAATAATATAGAATTATATAAAGCTTCCTTTGAGGATTTGGAGAAGTTCCATTGCAGAGAACGCAACTTCTAAGAAACTTCTAGAAAAAAATATTGATATATAAACGTCGCCACCCTCCGTTGAATCGTAGATTATTGTTCCAAGTCGCTCTCCACGCTTCCATTTAAATAAGGTGGCTGATTCGTCTTGAAGCCTTAGCCTTTCGATGCTCCTGCAGAAATTTCTACTGGAGAGAGAGCAGCGCACTGCTTTCCTCTGTTGAATTCTCTTCTTCAGCTTTTCTCTGCCAAGACGGAGTGCTGGGCTCTAAGATGGTGGGTCTTTGAGGTGATTCAAAGGTTTGAGGAGAGTTGTTGGGCCAGTTCAACTCTGGTTTTGGCATTTGGGTGGTGAGTGGAGATTGAGGGTGGTTTAGGGTTTTGATGGGGTCGCCGTCAGTGGTGGAGGTTGGGGACAGAGGGAGCATGTGGGATTTGGAACAGAAGTTTGATCAGTCGATGGATGAAGAGGCTGATAAGATTGGTAATATGCATGGAGAGAAGGTATTCTTTAGTAGTTGCTCTGCTCGTTTCTTTTTTGGATGATTTTTAGTTAAATTATGATGTTATTATAGTTGTAAATAACTTTGTATTAGGATATAAAGACAAAAAAAAAAAGGTTGTGAATTTCAAATCTGCTGGATTTGTTTTGAGATAGGTGTTGTTGAATTCTGATTTGTCTGTTCTTTTAAAATGTTGAATTTTGATTTGTCCATGAATTATAACCCAAGAAATAGATAAATCAAGAGAGAGAGAGAAGTGAAGAATGACATGATCTCCCCATTTATAGGCGAGATAATACAATATGATTGATGTTATATTTTTTTCCTCTACTTTAATGTGAATTATACAGGATATTCCTAGTAGTTTACATATATATGAGTCTATCACTCGACTACTTTCTAATTTTAGATAATTCTTACATTTTGCCTCCCATCTTGTTGCCATTCCTTCCAATTACCCGTCTTCGCTGTCCAGCCACCCTCTTCGCAGCGATCGTCCCGAAGACAACCCTTTGCAGTCCCACATGTTCCTCATTGTTGCCACCGCCTCGAACAACCGACCGCTCTTGGCTATTTGTTGTTGTTCTAGCCCTCCAACCAGCCCGTGTTGTTGTTTTTCAGCCGACCAACCTCCAGCTCTCCCCATCGCAGTCCCCTGCAACTTTCCTTTCTTTCTCCTATAGCCATCCACCACCTCATCACCTTCCTCCTGCCATCCACTTATCAAACTAACCACCAACTTTGGATACATTTTAGTTGTGTTTGTTTGCGATTGTCACTGTATTTTTGTTTCAAGTGTTTTTGGTTCTAATCTCATATTTGCTTTAGGTAATAATATTTATTTTTCTATTGAAGTTGGGTTAATTCTGGTATCACTATGATTACAAGCTGACTAGAAAAATGCATATTGCTCTCCATTCTATGCTTTGAAGTCTGTTGTAAGTTTTGTATAGCATGAAAGGGCTTATTGCTCATCTTATTTTATATCCATGGTTTTTGGCTTCAAGGAAGGTTAGGTTGGCATGTTGTTTGGGCAGCTGATTGAGATATTGTAAATATAATATTTTATAATTATGATAAAGTAGTATTTTGTTTATTTATATCATACCATAATTATTTTAAATGATTCTTTTGTTGTAATCTGAATAATTTCTTAAATGATGTTATGGTTTATTTCACTTTCATTTATTTGTCTGTGATGATTAATAATGGCTCAATGATTTTTTTTATTCAAGGATTTGTAATTCTTCTAAAGAGACCTTAGACATTAAGGAGAATCATATGTTTTGGATTTGATATTGGGGTTCTCCTCTTGCTACAACCAGGTCCAATGTGATTCTCTTCGTATCCTAGGATCATTAGGCTGGGCCCTTACACCTTTTAATATTAAGTTTGTCTCTACGGAGTCAGGTCATTGTGAATGGCCATTGGCTGGCACTTGTTTAATTTGTGGTGCCTATATGCGAGATATGTTCATTTTTAGGATAATTTTTGTCATGAAATATACATTTTTTATGCATTGGTCAGGAGATGTCTCTCTTGTTTCCTTTTCACAATTTAGATAGTTACAGCTGATGAAGGACCTGTTATCAAATGTAATTTTCATTATTTCTAAATTTGGGAATTCTTTTGTACTTTATGCTCCTTTCTATTTTCACCTCTCACTATTTAGTATTTAGAATGCTTGGGGAATAAATAAGAACGAATTCTTTCTTGCTCGGGCCTGGAAAGAATGAATGCCATTGTCTCATATAAGCTAAACATTCCTGATTTTGCTTTGCAGAAAGTTTCTACATTGTTAATTCTAAGACTCGCATTCCAGAGTCTTGGGGTGGTGTTTGGAGATTTGGGGACATCACCTTTGTATGTTTTCTACAACACGTTTTCTCATGGAGTAAAGGATCCTGAAGATATTATCGGAGCTCTGTCTCTGATTATATATACGCTAACTCTTATCCCACTCCTCAAATATGTTTTTGTGGTGCTAAGAGCGAATGATAATGGTCAAGGTGAAGTATTACCATTATATTTAACAATATTAATTTCATTTTTTTTCTCACACTTGTATAGATGATCATAGACAAAGCCAGGTACAAAGAATACTTCTTAAATAAACTGTTTGTCGAATAGCAACCTGTAAGGCATGTTTCTTTTCTTAACAAGACTGAGTTGGATATTGCATGATAGACAAAATGTAAACTTCACCATTAACTGTATCTTTTGTAACTGATTTTGGTGCTCAATTTTTACAAACACAATATATTTCTTGTTAAACTTTCTTTTGTTACTAATTATCCCTTTTATATTAAATATTGGAAAAGTTTTAACTTAGGTTCTTGGATTACTTTTAGCGATTGGAGAACTAATCGAATCACTAAAAATATTGCTTTCAATGTTATTGTCATGGATCTAAAATTACTAATGCTTCATTGGAAGGCTACAGCTTCTTAGTTGTTTATGGTGATATCCAAGTAGTTGGGTATAGGGTAATGATGTTTTCAATGAAGTATAAATAGAAAGAGAAACTTGATCACGAATTTCTGAAGTCTATATTGTAACAAGGAAGCTAAATGACTCAAAGCGGAAGCATCAATCAATATCTTGATTGATTTGCCAGTTTGATCTTAAAAGAAAAATAGATAACAATCATAAAAGAAAAACTAAGATATACGAGGTTTAGTTTCAATCAAGTATATGTCTATGAGGAGAGAGAGTATAGTACATGATCTACTAACAATGCAAGCCACTGTCGTCTTATATATAATAGGAGCACCCCCTTTTTAAATTCCTATGTATATCTACAAAGAAGAAGAAGAAGAAGAATTTATTGCACTCTTTACAATAGTTGTTTCTTCTTCTTGAATGCTATAATGACAACCTAATATCAGGACAGACTGTGCAACACATGTCACAGACCAATATGAGGGTTTAGAGTTACAAGATGAGAACAAATAGGATAGAATGTGCTACGAATGTCATGGCCCAACCCAAGAGCTTAGAGTTATTAGATGGGAATAGATGATTTATTGTAGATAAAATGATGTTATTTACTAACATTAACTAATAACATGGTGAATTGTATCAGTTAATATGCACATACATGCATTTTTATGTGGTTCATTAAATTCTCATTTTCTGTCGATTATCTAATTATGTTTTGAATGATTTATTATGATTGTTTATATTTACTGGCATCATAAAGTAGTGAGTTATAAATCTACACCACATTAAACAGGGTATAAAGATAGATTGTGCAACGCATGTCACGGCCCAAATCAAAAGCTTAGAATTACGAGATGGGAACAAATTATTTTATGTGGCTGACATGATGTTATTCACTAACATTAACTATTAACATGGGGGTGGATCTATCAATTAATAAGCCATATACAAGCAATTTCATACAGTTCATTATATTCTCGTTTTCTGTCAATTATCTAATTACTTGTACATTGATGTACTTATGATTGTTTAGGTTTACTGACATCATAATATAGTGAGTTGTAAATCTACACCACATTACATAGGCTATAATGACAATCCAAAAGCTACATTATAAAATTAATTAGGGTCCCGGCTGAATTCAATATTATTACTATTAAATTACTTGAGAACTTCTTTGTCTTCGGTGGGGATTATTTTCCCCCACCTATATAGGTATCATAAATATATCGTTGTCAACCTGCATTTCATGATATGACATTTCTTTGGTACAACATATTTTATTATTGAACTTCAAAATAAATTTGTGAATCCTTTTCAAATACGTTGAATATTAATTTACACAAATGAGAAATTTATGAATACTAGATTCTTACATTTAAAAGTATCGTCAATTAATAAAATATTTGTATAATCATAATGCATTCAATTATGAGCTTGAATTATCAAAATTTTCATGTGGACAGGTACGTATGAGTAATACGGTTGTCAACATGTTTTTTAAAATATTAAAATTTTCTACTATAATGCACTCATTTGTGTAATTTGTAAATAAGTATACAGGAAATTGACTAAAATAATTTGCTTTCTGCATTAAAATTTACATATCTTACCTAATGGATGATTTATCTCTTCAAATCGAATGCCTCAAAATGTTTTCCTATTGTAAACGGTCTCAAATTATGTTTTCTTATACAAGTATAGAACCTAACACTTCAATTTGAAATTGAATTCATTGGAGATTATGGGAAATGAAGTTTTCGTGGGTGTTTAATATTAGAACATAATATACTAACATGATTCATAGCATTATACCTTTTATCTCGTTACATGTATCTCAATCATTGCTTAGCACATCCATCATTGCATTTGCATGTAATGCTAAGTGCAAATGATAGGAAACTTAGTGTATTAAGCAATTAAATAGTTAATTAAATTCAGTAAAAATAACATTTAAATAACTTAATCTTAATGGTTTTATTAAAAAACAGTTTTTATTGTCATACCGTTCGAGGATTATTTGGTGTAAAAGAGTACAAAAAAGGGTTAGGTAAGTTGTAGGAGGGGTAAGGAAAGTGGGGGCAAGGATGGTGACTGAATTCTGGCATGAACAACGGCGGGAAAGCGGACCAGAAGAGGAAACAACTGTTTTCCTCTACCCAACAACAACCTCCTGTTGTCAAACATCACTAAACAGTAAGTTCAATGGATAATGTGCCTTTGAATTTCCAAAAATGATCATCATGTCGATTCTATCAAGTTATAGACACAACACTTGAAAGAAATCCAAAGATACACTACAATATAGAAACCCAGGAAAAAATAACTTCAAAAAACATAAGCAAAGAAAAAAGTCTAATAAAATAAGAAATAACAATATATAAATAGTTCTTTCATAAAAAATTCTAATTAGAAATAGAGATATAGGAAAAAAGTAAGAAAGGAAAGAAATCAAATGAATATAGGAATGGGACTCCGCCACGGGTGATACTTCCTTCCACGATCGCTAGAGTTCTGCAAACCGCATAACAATGTTCAATCAGCTTCGCATCACTCTCCCTATGTAGGAAAGGCTTTGGCCTCATCTTTGGAAGGATCTGGATCCCACTGTTTAATGTTCTTCTCATAAAACACTAAAGAAGATGTCCACAACTACAATTTACCACTCTTGTCTGACAATCTTTGTCCATGGGTGCACTGTTGAATTGAACTGAAACTTATTGCTGAATTTATTTCGTAGAGTTTTCAAAAAATCAATAAAAAATTCTCATATCTATCTGATGTGATGACATACTGGACCTTCCTAACTAGTGGCAACTTAAGGGGTAGGTTATAGGTTAGACAATGCTGAAATTTACTTGAGGCCGACATGTGTTTGTTATCAACTATTTGGACTCACTCTCATCTAGAACAACCAATGTTAATTCTGGTGGTGCTTCTCTCATAGGCTCAGTCTGAAGGTTCCGTTAGATTATCATTTCTATCTGATGCGTTGTCATGCTAGACCTCTCTAAGTAGTAGCAACCTAGGTGGTAGGTTGTAGATAAACCATCCTAAAATTCACTTATCTAGGGCTGGAATGTCTGGTATCAGCTCCTTGAACTCACAGTCATCTAGGATAACTAATGTTAGTCCTAATGGTGCTTCCCTCATAGGTTCAATCCGAAGGATCCATCGAATTATTAACATCTATCGCTCATAAGCTGAAAGTTGGTACTCCTCTTTTACATTCTCAACTTCTTCAGTGTTCCATGTGTCAATGATTTCCACTATTTCTATTTTCCATTGCTTCCTTCTCCTTGAACGAGACCATCCTTTTGTTGGGTAATCTAATGTAATGTGTCAAAAGCCATGACAATTGAAGCATTTCCTAGTTGTGACGGATTTGGGAATGCAAGTGGGCTACATCTTTTCTTCACTTTGGATTATTTTCTTCTCTAGTGGGCTTGGCTTGAGTGCTATACTGGCCGCACTCTTGCTGCTTGACTCACTGGTTGAACCCCCCTATTTACAATGTGGTGTGGGCCTGATATTGCTATGTTGTCTCTCCACCTTCTAGGCTAGAGTATGGATATCCTGTAACGTACAATAGGCTTGTAACCGTACCATGTTGTCAATGAATATTCTCAGTCCCCCCATATATCGAGCTATAGTGCTCTTCTCCGCTCCAGCAGCTTACACTTTAATATAAACATTTAGAACTCTGCTATGTACTTTATTGAGAGATCTTTTTGTCATAAGTGATGAAGTCTCAAGAACATATTAATACTGAAGTTAATCCAAACCATAATAGGAGAAATAAATACTATTGTTAAAAATAATCAAACACACTTGGAAGGGAAATTACAACAAAACAATACACAAACTCACATTAAGGCTTGATCTGAGGGTGGTGAAGGCCGGCTAGGTGCTAGGTGCTAGGAGGTTGAAATGGTTATGGTTTGTGGTTTGTTGGGACAATAAAAGAGATTGTGTTGGCGGTCAAGCAGAGGGTCTAAAACAACAACGACAACCAAGGAGAGGGTTGGGACAACAAGGGATAACGAAGGGAAAGGGTTGTGAACATCAAGATAGCAAGAGGAATGTTATCCCGGGGCTGTGACAATAAGGGGGTGGTTGGAATGAATGAAATAAGGGGCTGGGTGGCGGGACTGTAGGAAAAAGAACAATAAGACTGCTAGCTTGGGTGGTTGCAAAAAGTACGGGAGGTTGGACAACGGTCGAAACAGCAGGCGGGGGAGGGAACAGGCGCGGTGGCGAAGATGAAGGGTTGAGACTACGAAGCTAATGAAAAGAAGGGAGGGGAAGGCAATGACGACGTTTAGAAAGGCCGCGGAAGTGTTGCGTAATGATAAATACCCCTCGGAAATGAGCTACATCTTGAGCAACACTCGATTTTTTGGAAGGAGATCATCACCTCAAATGAGTTATAACCAGAACACCTTCTTACTTTTGAATACAACCCTTAAAGAGGAAACCTTGGATTCTTGTGGCTTTCCTAACAAAATATACCATAAAAACTAATTTCCAAACCCTAATACAACACGTATATAAAAAATAACTAAAA